CCCCTTTACTCGCACACTCATCATGCCAACTACTCACGACGACTCGCAATTATTCTCAATTACGCTGAATTCGCCGAAAATATCAGAAAAGCGAAGCCCAGTGCTGCATCGTGGGACGGTACAGGTTTATGACATGCTACGGTGCACATATGCTGGTATATATATATATAGAGCTATGCACTCGTATTACGTATATGGTACTTATACCCATGTTACCTTCTCAATGTTAAATATTCGTTTGATATCAGCGCTACTTTGTGACTGCCGGTTTTCCACTTTAATTTGAATATTCCTAATGTCCCGGTAGTTTATTCCGTGGAGCGTTCGGGTGCCGGTCGCGTGACTAACGCCAGGAGTTCGATTCTTCTCCAGGCGTCCGGTGAAAAATTAATGGCAGACAGCAGACAGAGACATACAATTCGTGAGGATGAGGCAAAAGAGAGATACATTTCATGACGGGTTGTTTCGAACTTCCAGACTGGCTTTCGGGATCGAAAAGTTTCGCTCGTTAAGTATGACTGGGATGTATTATGAAAAGCACTGTAATCGTCGATGGGATGGAAAAATCGATAGATATATTTGAGGAAAATTATTGAAAAAAAAAATGCCTCGGATTTGACCTGGCTTGTATTTGCGTCAAGGGGCTATTACGAAAAGCCCTGTTGCTGCAGTTGAGCGAGGGTGATTTTGGGGTTGGCTTTTGTTATCGGCCTTAAGGGTGATTTTACTTTGCCTTCTAGGGGCGCGTTGACTCGCTCTCGGCTTACTTGAAATTTTTCCTGCGTGTGTCTGGCTTACCCTGCACCCTGTATGCGGGCTAATTGCGATCAGTGGGGTCGGCACTGTTTTTTTTTCCCCGAAAAAAAATTCGCCATTTTGATATTCGGTGGTGGTTTTTTTTTTTGGAAAAGGGTGGGAATTTCAGGCTTGCAGGAATTTCAATCTGACCCTGTAGTGGGAGATGAGCTTTTTTAAGGTTAGGTATGTCGAGGGGGGGAGTGTGGTGATAAGTGGGCATAAAACGAAAATTTGAAATTCATAATATACACGGTCGAATTGGAATACATACTGGAATTCCTTAGGTGCAGAAATTCGTCCTGCGATACTTTTGCATTATCGATCGTATTCTGTCCTGCGGGACGCGACAGTGGGTGGGGTTACTGTGTATATATACATATATATGTATACGTCCTGTGGAATTTTAATTCCGTGTTCCTGGGGTGGTACCAACCTAACGGTACACGCTGGGTATAGAAATGTTGAAAATAAGTAAAAAGGATAAAGGGTGTAGTGCGAAATTCCAGATCGTGTAGTAATTCCAACTGGGATCTAATTTCAGCAGTGTATATATAGTATTGAGACGGAGACCAAGGGAAGTTGTCGGGAATTGCATCTAGCCATTAGATTATCCGATCCCGCTGTGGGATCCCAGGGGACGATCGGTATTGCTACTGAGACACCCGGTATAAGCTGAATCACATCGAGCGGAAGGATCCGGTCCTTGCGGATAGCCGACGTGAGAATTGGCCACGGGTATGGAAATTTCGTAGTGACAGCCAGGACCCTGTCTCTCGTCCGGAGAATTCTCCATTAGACAATTATCAAACTACCCCACTGGATTCTCACGAGCCATCGGACTTGGCTATGTCATCCCCTGGCGCAGCCAAGCATTATCCGTTCCCACAGTATTAACTGGATAACTTGTATGATGAATATTTTCAAGCCTTAACTATATGGAAAAAAAATATATATATATATACCTGTAGTACGTGATAGCAGTGAATTCGATCGCACTCGAAATTCTCCTAGGGGATGACGTAGCCCGGGCAGACCGTTAAATCAGTCCGCTCTGGTGCAAGGGTGGTTAACGGGGGTGCAGAAGCAGAGACTGGATGGACTGCAAGGTACAGGACCATTTGCCCGTTGCACACGTGTGGGCTGGCTCTGGACCTTACCAGGGGGGTTTGGGGGTAGGGTTCCATGGGGGTTGAAGGTTATCCCATGTCCAGGAGGGGTCGCTCGTGAGTGGTAAATATATGTAGAGAGAGGGGAGGGATGCTGGGAGGGTTGTTGAGCTGGCTGAGCTTGCTTGGCTACCACGTTACCAGGGGGATGAAATTGTGCCTGACTGTATATATATATATATATATAGGGATGAGCGAGGTGACGTGAGAGAGAGAGAGAGGTGGACGTCGGGAGGGGCGTCGCGGCGCAGCCTGCCGCACCCAGCAAAGCGCCTGCCCGCGCCGCGACGCCTTCGACTACCCTGAACCCATAGCCAGTCGCTTCGTTGTTACCCCACGCTGTTGCTAGGTGCCTCGTTTCTCTAGAATGTTCTCTGTCGTTAAACACCTCAATTCTTAATACGCGTAATAGCCGAGCCTCTTTTTCGATAGCGTAAATCACGTTATCGGTACCATCCGACCTCTTGTCGTACCGTCGTTTCATCCCTTTGCTGATCTCACGTCCGTCCACGTTTCTCGCTACCATCCAAAACGACGCCAGCACGCAGCCTGGCTCGTCTCTACGTACTCAGGATACTCGATTTTGGATAAGATTTTAACGTGGGTGCATTCGACGTTACTTTCTTTACTGTGCTTTTGGCGCGTACGGACTTATAATTGTTTTGTACGTTACTTTTTTGGTTGCTGTCGTCGTTAAATTTATTTATTTAGGATACCGCGGCTGCTGTTTGATTTTTTACATGCTTATGTTTATGTATAATAGTGGCTGTGTTGGTTTAGTCGTTAGTTAATTTTAGCCATTACGTAGGGTCGAGTTAATTAGACACTCTTGGTCGATTCTTTATTTTGCTAATTACTTCTTCGCGGGAGAATACACTATTGTGGTATTGACTCCATTAGGCTGATTACTCAAATTTATTTATTTTTTTTTTTTTTAGAGCTTGTATTTTTTGTGGGGAATTTTTTTTTCAGGAGCTTTCATCATGATCCGCGCTGGATAGGTAATTGGTGTATGGGGGCTTTTATGGTACTTATTGCTGTTTCAGGGGCTTACGGGGTTGGTAATTTTGATTGGATTGTTTTTTTAGTCTTGTCGGTGATTTTTAGTAACATACTGCTGCGTGAACTTTTGTTATCGGTCAATGCGGTTAATAGTATCTGCCGGCTGGAGAGCTTCTCAAACTATATATAGATTGGATTTGCATTTTTTTTTTTTTTTTTTTTTTTTTTTTTTTTCCTTTTACCGCAATGCTTCCGCGAGAAACTACTCGAGAGTTCGACGAACCCTTTCTGTTTCAGTCGCGTAGTCATTTTGGTAGGACTGATTTAACGGACGGTTATTTATCCTGGCGAGTCATACCGAGTGCTTCGATTCGGTATAACTTTACTGGTTAATTGCGTGAAATTGTATTTTTAGGGGTGATATTTAAATTTTTGAAAAATTCTCTCAAGATAAATGCGAATCAAATTGTTTTGTGTATCTTTCATAACGATATGATTTTTTTTTTTTAAGTTTGCTTCTTCAGCAATTTGATCTAGGGTCGAATAAGTTTTATTTAGTGTATCGTTGTATGGACCACGCGGAATGGAAAATAAAGTTTAAATAACTTTTTCTCAGGCAGCCAATAGTAAATATCTCTCTGAAGTGGATGACAAACGCGATCGACTCCATTGCTGAATATTCGGGACTGAATTTGATATTCCCAGCGTGGAATTAAATGTTGAGTTTGCTGCTCGAGTGAATATAGGAGGCTTGAAAGAAATAATTTGCTCAAAATATCAAAGGATACCACGACTGGCTTTATCGATCCAGCTACAGTGTATTCGATGCAGTGACCGTAGAGTCGTGGCAGACAGAAGGACCCCCCTAGGAGTGAATAAAAAAAATTTTTTTTTACTGACGAACCAAAAAAAAAAGTGAAAATTCCTAACAATCAAGTTCACGCGTATTCGGAAATAATTTTGAGAAAATTTTCGTGACACGACACAGTGACGGTTTGAATTTCGAAATCTTTGAGTTGAACTTCCAAAGAAATAAAAATTCGACCTATGACCTGCCCGGAAAGTGAAGTGAAGTGAAGTGGCAAAGGTGGCCGAATGAAGTGGTTTTAGGATGATGGTGGAGCGTGTCGAGGGTCACCTCTTCATGTATCGACGACCGGTCTACCGGGTCTTCCAGTACCTCGAGACCTCCGAGTAAGTAATTAGCGACGATTTGAATTAATCGATTTTGTCCTTAATCGATATATTGCATTCGATTGTTTTTTTTATGAATATTATTTTTTAATATATATATATATATCCTATTGGCGTTTTTTCACTGGCAATGTCGCGCTCGAGAGAAACTTATCGAACTTCTTCCTCTTGTTTTTGCGCGCGAACTTTTGAAAATGACAAGAGTTTCCGCTTATCGTAACTCCGGTTGGTCAACAAGCGGGAAATCGTAATTCAATAGAAAAGACACCTTACAAGTGAACCGGATGATTGTCGCTCTTGCATCAGCCTGGTTTTTTCACTATAAGCATAGTGGGTTAAACTTCCCTTGAAAAATCACCCTCTTTTACCACCCTTGCTGAGCTACTTCTGTCGATGGTACTCAAACGGGCGCCATCATGGCCATTCCCTACTGGGACTACGTCTGGTATTCACTTAACGCCTATACGTTTTCCACTAGGAAAGTAATTTAGCCAAGTGGGTCGTAGAGAGACGCTGAGGCCGTCGGCGTCGACGTCGCGACGTCCTTTCGCTCCCCCTTCGCCTCCTTTGTCCTTTGGTGTACAAGTACCAGTGAGTGGTGAGCCCCGATTTCCTTTCTTGATTTCCGCTGACTTTGCGTGACCCAGACATTGACCCTGATTCAGCGACCTTGATCCAGATCGGTACCGGAAGTCGCGCTTTGGATGGCGAAGAGATACGAAAAATAGGAAATTTTGAATTTTTTTTTTTAATTAAACTTTACCGTTACGAGGTACATTGAACTGGATATCGTTGTACGGAATTTTTGTATTTTTTTGGACTTTTTTGAATAATTTTCGAATTTTCTCTATCCCCTTCGTTTCATCCTCCACACTGGCCGCCTCTTCCAGAGGTAACGCAGGCACTTGTCATGGGTCTAGCTGGATCTGAGCAGGTCTTAGAAAACGATCGGTTAGATCTGGATTTACGTTTTTGAGTTGAATAATCTTTCGGCGAATTTTCATTTTCGTTTCGGATACGATCCATTATCCAATTAATGTTTTTCGAAATGTCCACGTACTTCCATGGTACCCAGTCCTGTACGTCGTCACAGGTATAAGCCACCAAACCCACCTGAGAATATTTTAAATAATTATGGTCATTATTTTTTTTCGATTTTTTTGAGGCACTTTTTTTTTTCAAACCTTACCAACATCTCATTCTTGATAACCGGTGTTCCCAATGGCGGACACTCCACGTATGTTTGCAGAACCTCCCCCTCCATATATCGTTCCTTAGACTTATTCATGGAGTCGATCTGATCGAACACACTGGAAGCGAGCTTGTCTAACAGAGTTTTCGCTATGTCGGTGGACGTTCCATTTTCGGAAAGACTCGTACCCATGTCCGACGTTCTGTCCATGGGCATGTTTGTTTTTATGAAATCCGGATGTAAAACTTCCTCCAATCGCGAGAACACGTTGTTGACAAATTTTTTAATAAAATCTTCCAAAATCTTCTTATTCGCGTCACTGACGTTCGGCGAATTGGATTCTAAAAATTTGAATTTTTTTTAATTCGAAAAAAAAAAAAAAATTTTCTCCATACCACTCACTGGTTCCCGATCTCCTTCCGTCCTTCTGTGCATATCGATTTCGCTTGACGTGACGGCTTTCCAAATTTTCATCTGTCAAATTTAACTTAGTTTTCTCCCGCGCGAAGAATACTGGCGCTGCTGCCATTTTACCGGGACTTCTCATCGATCTTCTATTAATCTGTATGCTTTCGGAGAATACGTTTTTACTTCCCCTGTTCTCTTCTTTGCCCGTGTGCTCCGGTGACGGCAAATGCTTCGAGTTCAGAAGTTTCATCGTATGGCGATTCTATTGAACGTGGGTGAATTAATGTATACAGTGATACACGTGACAGTATATATTGACTATTTACATAATTTACTCCAAATTATTTATATACTTACGTCCGAGTCTTGAATCACCGTAACAATTTTACAACGATCCGAGCAGCACAAATGGCCCAAGTCCTGATAACGATTACAGGCCAATCTTGGAATACGGGCGGGGCCCCTGCATATTCTAAAAAAAATTTTTTTTCCAAAAAATTTTTTTTCCCCCAAAATCATAACCGCACTCAATACTCACGGACACTCGAGATGCAGAATGGCCAAATTGTGAGTAGCGTAATTCACGGAATCGACGTCAAATTCATATTTTGGGTGCATCTCAACGCCCGCGATCTTTATCACCTGAGGGTAATCAGTGGTAGCGCCAACGAGTACAGCCAAATTGGCATCGATGTGATGTCTATAAAATTAAGAAAAAAAAAAAAAAAAAAAAAAAAAAA